AAAATGGGTGTGGGCTAGTTAAAAATGGATCTGGGCTAGCTAAAAATGAGTCTGGGCTAATAAAAAATGGGTCTGGGCTTGTAAAAAATGGGTCTGGGCTGGTAAAATTTCCGAACAACCAGCCACCGGGTTAGTCGAGGTAGAACAGGTTTTGGAAAGACAAATAAAGTAATTTTAGCTTACCACGTGTATGAAAACTGCAGGTCACATGATCAGACATCCACGCATGGGCAGTACCGTCAAGAGTTGTGTGGAACAAATCCCTGCAATATCACTGGCCAGCAGCATCCAGCCGATCACGAGGACAGTTCTTCGGGTGCGCCTGACTATCAAGCCGGAGTTTCGCTGGAATGACAAAGTCCACGGCTCTACGTCAGAACCGTGGTGGATCTGGGTCGAGGACCCGGACAATAACCACATTTACCACTCAGAGTACTTTCTACTGCACAAGAAACAGGTTTGCTCAAGTTTGTCAAAAAATTTTTGAGGTGCAGTCGTTCTCGATAAAAAATAGGAAATTGAACCCAGCAGTAACACACCTACCAGGATGGAGGGAGGAGAAGAGAGTCTCCCGCTCTCTCCTTTTGCGAATGTTCTTTTCTAGTTTTTAATACACGACCAGATACAAGCCCATATAAGGCTTCATAGTGATTTTAGCTCCTTGCACATTTGCACGTGAACTGAATTTGGAATTATTTTAAATTCTAAAATGATCAGAGAAACTTTGCAAGAACTGCATCGCTTAAGGGGGGAAATTTGAAATTAAGAAAATCTTAGCAGTCGATTTGCTAGTTCCTATATTAAAAATAAAAATTTCCAAATATTCGATGTTCAAAAATCATTTTTACCCGGCACATGTTTTCTACCAGGTGTTAGCTAATGAAGAACAAACCTTAGTGTTTACCATTCCGATCTTCGAGCCGCTACCTTCACAGTATTTAGTGCGAGGAGTGTCAGATCGCTGGCTTGGCTCTGAAGTGGTTTGTGCTCTGTCTTTCAAACATCTCATTTTACCAGAAAAGCACCCACCTCACACTGAACTATTAGATCTACAACCTCTGCCACTAACCGCCTTGAAATGCAAAGAATACGAGCTGCTGTATCGGTGAGTAAGATTGTGTTATTAGTCCTCCTCACAAGGAGAAGAGGTGGACTGTATATCCAATAGCAACGCACTCGATTTGTCGATTGACCAATTCAGGGGCCATCAAAACGTTTGACCGTGTTACGCGTCTGTTTACAGTTGTTTACTCCTATTCACAAGACGATAATCTCATGCAGTACTTACTGAGGGCTTATCTCCTGTACCTCGAATGGAAAGCTTTGCTTTCCAACTTTGACCTTTGTCACGCATAGGCCTGATAGCATCCCATACCGGATAGGTATCTCTCTCCCTTTTCGCTTTCTGGTCTTGAACTGGGATTAGCTCCGGCAGCTATGAATGTCAGTCTTGTATCCAGGGCCAGGTTGATCAAAACTGGGTTAAGGTAACCCAGGGTTAGTGTGAAATTTGATTTCAGATCTGGAAGCTTTAAAAGAAAATTTACGTTAATCCCATTTTTCTACAATTTGATAATTGAATGCTCTTAAAAGGATTGGGAAAATTATTCCAATAGGTCTTTTGAACAGAGAAATGTAGAAACTTGGATTAAAATTTAACCCTGGGTTAGCGCTGATCGGCTTTCAAACAACTTGGCCCAGACTTCTGTCATTGGGTTTGCTTTGGTCTGTTTACATTGTTTCCATTTGTTTTAGGTTTACTCACTTCAATCCAGTCCAAACACAAGTATTTCACACAGTATACCACACGGATCATAATGTACTACTTGGAGCACCCACCGGGTCCGGCAAGACGCTGGCTGCTGAACTCGCCATATTTCGTATCTTTAATGTGCATCCTGGAACTAAGGTATGTATCAAGGTGACTAAGTCTCTTACGTACTCCCGAAAAGAATTCCTCTGTTCTGCTAACTCTGCTAATTCTGCCCAAAGAGACCCTAGACTCTGATCTAACGTCATCTTACCTTACCCGGCATTTCTGAACGTTCCATGTGTGATAAAAGCAACAACTTTTTTTTACCATTTGGCCCGCTCTTCAGAAGATGTCGTGTCTTGCCAAAGACAAAACTTCTCCCAAAAATAATTCAATAATAAATATGGAAAGTTTTATGTGGACAAAACATCTCAGTTGTCGGTTCCTTAGAGGAAAAGTGTAAAAAGACATGTTTATAGAACGCTTGTGAGTCTTACCTCTCAGTTCCACCAAGGCAGTTTGACCACAGGTACTACTTATCGGCCCAAACTCTTCCACATAATCCATGGGCATATTCATGTAACTAGTAATTTATGTCTAGCTTTATTTCCTCTATCTGTTGAAGTAACCATATAGTTCATTGCGAGGGAATCAATCCTTTTATCGGAGTTTGAACTCACTGTCTATGCTCCCATGTACAACATACGTCCTACATTTTTGCTGACGCGTTTTTTGTCAAATTTACTTGTCATAGGCTGTTTATATTGCTCCCTTGAAAGCTCTGGTCCGAGAGAGAATGGAGGATTGGAAAATACGTTTTCAGGAAAAACTTGGTAGAAGGTAAAATTTGTCATGCGTATTACGCATGAAATTTTTAGGTGCCTAGTCAAACTGTGTCAATTATTATCAGGAGTCGCAGTGAACTGTCTTTGGAGAAATTAATGTTTTCAATTAAGTGTTGAAAATAATACGAGATTGCCTTCGTATTTGCTTTACTTCGCTCTGTGATTGGTCCAGAAAACTCGCACCACTTTATAAACTTATCAGATTTAGGACTTACACCAATCGCGACTTAGTCACTCGCGGTTTTTTGGCGCTTTAAGCAGGTTGCTCGTTTCAATTTTAGCTCTCTTTGGCTCCTTGTGAATTTGTTATTTCTTTGATTGGCCCTTGTGATTGCTTTGGTTTGGTTCTACAACATTCAATCGAAATGCGCTCTCCTTTGAGAGTCAAGGTTGGTGAAACAACGGACTTGAAAAATTTAAGCCAAATTTTTGGAGATGCACATTCCCTGACTTGATCACGTTGACATCCACAGTGTCGTAGAGTTAACTGGTGACGTGACTCCGGACATGCGCGCTATCGCCAAAGCTGACGTCATTGTCACCACCCCAGAAAAGTGGGATGGCATCAGCCGAAGCTGGCAGACTCGTAACTACGTGCAGGCGGTGTCTTTGTTGGTAATTGATGAGATCCATCTGTTGGGTGAGGAGAGAGGTCCTGTCTTGGAGGTTATCGTGTCGCGGACGAATTTTATCTCCTCGCACACAGAGAAGACTGTTCGAGTGGTTGGTCTGTCGACTGCTCTAGCCAATGCTTCGGATCTTGCTTACTGGTTGGGAATAGAACAGGTACAATAAGATTATCTTGTGCCTTCTATGGAAAGTAAAAGCCGTACTTTTCAACTAAATAGCTTTTTGTACTGAAACTTGGACATTATCTTTCTGAGATTTATGTTTAACTTTTGTATAAGGTTAACAACCTTTGTCAATTAATAAGTTTTTTTTCTCATGTTTCGATTTTTCCATGTATGGGTTGAACCACAATTAAACCATCTTTTAAGAAGGTTTTGTTCAGCTTAAAGGTTTATGCAAAGATTAGATTGAAAAAGTTCCACCCTTTTCTTATAATTGCTTTTACAAAAACTCGACAGAAGCACTCCATAGAAAAACTCCTATCGCCATTGTATCGATCTCCCAACGTAACCGACAAGGAGACACTGCCGTGGAACCTCTATTAGGGTTTTTACCTTCCCTAATGCCATGGCTGTTCCCAAACTGCATTTACGCTGTGAAAGAAACTAGGAGAAGAAACTGTTACTTAATTTAGTGTCCTTTTCTTTTCCAGGCCGGTATGTTCAACTTCCGGCCGTCAGTGCGCCCAGTCCCTCTGGAGGTGCACATATCAGGGTATCCCGGCAAACACTACTGTCCGCGCATGGCAACTATGAACAAGCCCACCTTTAACGCTATTAAAACACATTCCCCCACCAAACCCGTGCTGGTGTTTGTTTCGTCAAGACGACAGACCCGCCTCACGGCTTTGGAGCTGATTTCTTTCTTAGCCGCCGAAGACAATCCCAAACAGTGGATGCACATGCCGGAAGCTGAGGTAAGAGCTAAAAAACAATTTAACAAAACAAAAAAATAGTTGATTGTGTGAATCAAATTTGTATATGACAGTCCTAAGTCTGCTATAGGTAAGGCGGGACCCATTTGATAAGTGGTACTCCTGTTTTTAGCGGCGCAAAACTGAAAATTGTCTTATTTACGGAGGCTAACCCTCACGCGAGCGAGTGTGTTGTTAGACTACTTTGTATTCTGACTAAGTAAATATATGCACATGATTCGTCGCTTTCCTATAGTTGTGTTTATCGATCATGAATTCATGCTTCTTCAGTTGTCTATCAACAATCAGCAACGAAGCATAATGCTTCATAAAATGATTCATCGTGACCAGTCCATCCATCGTCTTAAAGTGGCTCATAGTAGCAGTACATATACACAAACGATCGTGATACTTCATGATCAAACTTAGATGTGACTATATCATGTGATGAACAAATTTTACTTTTGTGATACGTTACCGCGATGAAACATCGCAACTTTTTTTGAGATAAACATTCTTTTTTTTTTAGATGGACTCGTTGATCCAAACAGTGAAGGACAACAACCTCAAACTGACTTTGTCGTTTGGTATTGCACTGCATCACGCGGGTTTACACGAGAGGGACAGGAAGATAGCAGAAGAGCTGTTTGTGAATCAAAAGATTCAGGTGAGTTAAAGGATAGACTACGGTGAAAGACTGTTTATCCTAATTGCTAGAGCATCCAACTGTTGTGCGGGACTCCGAGGGTACAAGCCTCAAACCTCACAAACAATCTGGGTCTTCAAACAGCTGAGGAGGATGTGTTGTCTTAACGTAAGGAAACAAGGAAAACTTTTTAGTGCAAATGCGGCTTGATACGATAAGCATGTCAATTGCTTTTGTTGTAATACTAGCACACAGTTGAAAAGTTCTATTTTCATCCTCCAGATTTTGATAGCGACTAGCACCTTAGCCTGGGGTGTCAACTTCCCGGCCCATTTAGTGGTTGTGAAAGGTACTGAGTATTATGATGGTAAGACTCGGAGGTATGTGGATTTTCCCATCACAGACGTGCTGCAGATGATGGGGCGCGCAGGGAGACCACAGTACGACGAGAATGGGGTGGCTGTGATCCTTGTTCACGACATCAAGAAACACTTTTATAAAAAGTTTCTGTACGAGCCATTTCCTGTCGAGTCAAGGTATGAACGCAATCGAGCAAAATAACAGATAGATAGGAGTTAAAAGGTTGATGCCGATCTGAAAATTAGCATTTAAAAGTCAAAAGGCAACCTATTTTACATTTTTTATTTGCGAAAGTGATTTTTTTGTTGTTGAGGATTAAAACGCTTTTTCAGGTTACCGAGATATACGACTAGATAGCGTTATTTAAAAGGGAAATTGGAGATGAATCGCCCAAATGATTTACACTCACCATGGCGAGAATCGTTTCTTACTACTGGAATACGGTGATAATAGTGAGGAACAAGGGTGCAGCTCAGGTTTTGTAAAGTGGAGGAGGTGGTTTCTACGTCACACCCAAGTTACCAACGCTGCTGTCATGTCGACTTTCTCGCTGGGTTTTGTTTAAAGTGACATTTTTTTTTATGCTTAGATTTATCGATTTCGCGCTTACTTTGTCACCTGAGATAAAGAAAAGCAACTTACTTAGGGGGAGAGGGAGTGGCCTTAATGGACACCCTAGGACTTCCCCCCCCCTCCCCTCCGCAGCTACGCCTTGATGCCTTGGGTACATTTTTCAAGCAGTCGCATTAAACGTAACATCCACTGTTGTTTCCTAGTGCGTATGATTATGTTATAGAGCTTCTATGTTTTCATTTCTTTCTTAGTTTGTTAGAAGTACTTCCAGATCACTTGAATGCTGAAATTGTGGCGGGCACAATCACTTCTAAACAGGACGCCATGGATTACCTTACTTGGACGTACTTCTTTCGACGTTTGCTGATAAACCCAAGTTACTATGATCTTGAAGACATTGACAACGACTCAGTCAATAAATTCCTCTCTGCTTTGGTAGAAGGTGCTGTGAGAGAAGTTGAGAATTCTGCGTGCGTGGAGATTGGCGAGGTAAACTTGTTGTTCTGTCGTGTTAGCGATGAGCAGGTAAAACTGAAACTATCCCAATTGACTGATCCAATGTTGATTCATCGGTTTTGCTTTACTTCGCTCAGTGACGTGCATGTGAAATTTTAGCCACTTTTTTTAACAAATCAAACGCGTAACTAAATCTAACAGCGACTTAGTTACCCTTACTTTCCCATGCTTTCCCATGTTTCTGATTGACTTTGGTGTTGTTTTCAATACTCTAAATCGCTCCAATAGAACAGAAGGATCTCTTTGTCATGGTTTGCTAGGCAGGCGAAGTTGGACTGCAGGTGCTTCGAATAGACCACAGGTCACTCAATCTCGTCTCCTGGATGAGGTCCATTTGTTGTTCACTTTCACAATGTTTATCCCTAAACTTATCTTTCGCTTCATAAGTATGTTGATTTAATGACACAGTTCTCTGGCTGTAGGACGGTTTGGCGATAACCCCAACGAACCTTGGAAGGATTTCTTCCTATTACTATCTAAGCCACTTGACACTGCGCATGTTCCATGAACGGTTGGACGCTGACTGCAGTCTCCCGGACCTCATCGAGATTTTAGCGGTAAGAATTTTTCTTCATTTGGTCAACTTATGGAAGCGCTTTTTTTCGATGTACCGATGATCCAATAAAAGTGATGCTTGATGTACACAGAGGTCTTTGTGATAACGTCGTTAAACGTCATTTGATTCTTTAACCCTTTAACTCCCATGAGTGACCAAAACAGAATTTCTCATAACAAATATCAATACAACATCGACCAGATAAGTGATGAGAGTGAAGAAAAATATCAATTTGGGGATAATTAGTTGATCCAATTCTAAATTCTCTAGAATAATAAATTTGATCTGGGAGTTAAAGGGTTAAGAAACGAAATTTTTCAAAATTGATCTTTTACTTAGAAACATTTTTTACGTCATATCTTTGTAAGCAAAGATAATTCGTCATGAAAGAACAGGTATTCTCCGAGAAGTCAAAATGTTTTCTTTTCTCCTTTGAGATGGAAAATGTTTATTGATCATTAATATACTGTATCTTTCCTTGGAATTTAATTTATGCTCAATTAATCTGAATAGTTACAACTCTATTGCATTTTAATGGATATACACTAAATTTTCGCAGGATGCCGAAGAATACACTCAGCTTCCAGTTCGTCACAATGAAGACCTCATTAACAGGTGAATATGAGAAAATGGACCAGGAAGTAATTTATTATTTTACTGAGTCACTTCTCAACTCGTGACCTCACAGTAGATTAATGCTTAAACTTAATTGTGGTGTCTGCGGATGAAAACCGTTTGCGAGACCTTTCAAATAAAAAGAGAATGCTTGTTGTGCTGTCCTTCAATGAGATGTTATACTTTATAGTTTGAGAGTTGTTTTAGACGTTGGTCTGTTTACGTTTAGTATAACCAGTTCAGGAACTGTTCCTTATGTTTTTTTTTGTTGCGCTATGCAATTGAGATGACTTTTATTTACTCATGAAGGCGGAGAAGTTTATATTTATAATATAAAATCTAAATAACCTATGTACATCTTGTATTTCAGCGACCTAGCTCCTAGTCTCCCCTTGGAAGTGGACCCTCACACTTTCGACAGTCCTCACACCAAGGCACATCTGCTCTTTCAAGCGCATTTCACTCGCCTACCGCTGCCCAGTACCGATTACTTAACAGACACAAATTCAGTCCTCGATCAGGCTATACGAATCTTGCAAGTAAGTTCAACAAAGTGTGAAACGACCAGGAAGTGTCAACAGACCACACCAAATGGCTATATGGGATAATGGGAGTATGTATGAATGCTTTTGGCCTTTCCAAGGTTACGCGGAAGATTTAGGTCGAGTTACGTGTCGCAACTCTTAATTGGATTATTTTCTTTCAGGCAATGATCGACGTATCTTCCGCCGAGGGTTGGTTGGCAACAGCTCTTCGATGCATGCACCTTGTACAGATGGTAGTTCAAGGGCGATGGCTTCATGATTGCACCCTTCTCACTTTACCGTGTGTTGACCCAGATCTGTTGTCGCTTTTTCGAATTAATGGCCGTTCATTAGAATGCCTCCCGGAGCTGTTAGACGCTGTCAGAGGCGATCGGAAAATCCTGAATAGAATGTTGGGAGATGCTCTGAGTCCGGGAGAAATAACCGAGGTAGAGAAATATTTATCAATGTCCTTGCGCGCATCGTTCTCAGGTTATACCTTAGAGGAAGCTCGTCTTCAAACTTAGAAGTTGATGAGATTGTTAGAGGCGGGAATGGTACATTACTGGTTGTGGGACATCCTCTCTCGTTGTGATTTCCAGATTTTCCCCGCGGTCTCTGTAGCATTAGCAGCCACGAATATTAGTTCTCATCATGGGTGATTTGTACATCTATCCTTTATAGCCAGTAGGCATTTCTGTTAAGAAAATTTCCACGATAACCACGGCCAGGGCTTAGCCTAGGCCACCGTTTACGTAACTACAGCCTGACCAGCATAAGACTGACGCCTATTTACGAGCACATTAGTAGAGTGTCCCCCCTGTGCTCCTTCTTTTCTACCGTTAACGAATGGGCTTCATTATGTTCTCTTTATTATTGATCCCTTTGTAGGTTTTTGAAACGTTGGGTCGTCTACCTCAAGTCAGTGTTAAGATTAAAGTGCGTGGAGTCTGGGCTGAGAACGAGCAGGGCACCAAGGAAAGTAAAACCATCAATACCACACCGAGCGAAAGTTTAGCGAAAGACTGGGTTCCAGTGCATGCAGAACAGGAGTACGTGTTAATACTTGAAATTTCCAGGGAGTTCTGCGGTTTTAGGGTAAGGAAACAGATACACTTTAATTGAATATTCACAGTTCTTTCCCTTTTCTGCAAACGATTCTGTTACGTTATTTAAAGAAATACGAGGCGGTGGATTCTTTATCGTGCCATCTAAGTCGAGGCTACATTATCTCAAAACTTGTCTTTAAAAAAGTTAATAATTTCAAAATGGCAAGAAAAGACGATTCGCATAACAAAAAAGAAAGAAAATTCTGGAAATCTAAAGACCGGGTGCGTTAATCTGCAGTATATATATTTTTTAACTGTTCAGAGAGTTTGGTGTAAGGTCGAGGTAACACTCTGCAGTTAACAAGTTTGTCTCAGCATTGGCTCGTCGCTCATTTCCAGGTGTTGTCTGACTTTGTGAGGAGATTTCTTTTGTAAGTTGAATGTATAAGGGTGATTTATGCGGTACGACTCTTGCCAGCGATCCTTGTCAGCAACTTCTTTCTTCAAGAAAACAAAAGAAATCCCTGAATATTTAAAACTGCCATAAATCGTTGACTCTAAAAAATTCACTTTTTTTTGTTCAGCGATCCAACACAAAGGCGCACGCTCCACATTTTCCGAAACCCAAAGATGTCGGTTGGTGGGTGGTTCTCGGCGAGATGGACTCGGGCGAGTTGTTGGCCGTGAAAAGAGTGAGTCAGGTGCGCTCGTCAAGCACCGTCTCCTTATCATTCTACACGCCTGAGGACCTGGGAAGGAGAATCTATACTGTGTATCTCATCAATGATGCTTACTTGGGAATGGACCAGCAGTATGATGTTTCTCTAGAGATTATTCAATCAGATATTTCAAGTCAAGTGAACACTGAAGTTAACTTAAGTAACTAGTCTATCGCAGTATAATTTTGTCAAGCACATTATTTTTTTTCCGGCATGTATGAGGAAATATGAGTGAAATTTACCAACTACGATGATGAGAAAGATCAGTTGTGGAAATCCACACTGGAGCGAATGGCCCCTTTCCTTGAAACGTAAGTGAAGTTAAAATCTATTCCCCAAAACGGTAAAAGTAAAGTAAAATTTCAAGTCAATGCAACGCAAATTAATTTCAGGAGGGGATAGACTGTCTTAGATTGCAGTTAGTTTTAACACTTTTGTTTGACTTGTGGTAAATGTTACGAGTAGACTTGTGTATTGAAATACTTAAGTTTGAGGTAATTTCAAGGACCATTATGAACAAAGGAAAATATCGCAAGGAGTTCATGAGATATGCGAGGGGTCTAGCAAGCTGTTAAAGCTAAACTTCAATTTCCGGTACGTCCTGTTGTGTGCGCACACAGTCTTTGTGGAAACGCTTGGGTTTTTTTTGCGGAGTATTTTGATTGTGTAAAGCTTTGATTACCTTTCTCTTGTACGTATAGGATTCCCACTTCTTAACGAAAGCGTACGTACTGTATTGTTTTCAAAAAATCTATTCAGTATTCTGCGCTGAGCGATTTGGTGTTTGTTTGCGTCAGATTACCGATGTTGCAGAATTCCTGGAACTAAAATTTATAATTGTCTCAATATTTCAATTACCAAGATAGTGCAGTAAAAATATTAGGTAACACCAAATGATGATCAATCAAATTTATAGAGGATACACAAAAACATATGAAAGATTTTATTACACCCATGCAAGAAAAATCAATAAAGCCAGTTTTTCTCACAAGAGAGTTACTGCACTGTTGTCATTGATTTTTTGATCTTGTTTCTGTTTGTTACACTCTTCGCTAACTTTTCCTTTGTCAAGGAGGAAACTATCCCCGTTTCGCAGAATATGCAAAAACATTACAAGTTTTGGTGATCTTGAATGTACGGAAATGCAGAAAAAAAGAAAAACATAACTGGCAGGTCGCTTTATTTGGCTTTGTTATAAATGCATTGAAAGACAAGTTATCACGACTGGATTTTCATGTGCAATTTGCGAATTAAGATCTCGAACCCATGCATGTTATGTTCAGCCATACTTACTTTTCCGAGCAAATTTATTGCAACGTATCGAGTTTTCAGTTAATTTTGCGTGACCCTGAGTTGTTGTTACTGCTTTACCTACAAAACTTGGCACGCTTGAAAGTGGCAGGGTCAGCTGCAATGAATTTCAAATTGACCTATGTTTATCAGACTCCTGTAACTCAGAGCAGAAAAGGGCCGCACGCTTATTTCATCGCGCATCACCTGTTGCGATCAGTTTAGAACCAACACGAGAAGATGGTTGAGGAAATTCTCTTCGGGAACCTTGGTCTCCCTTTTACTGTAAGTCAACAAACTGCACGATGTTTCCTTTCGCTATGATGAAATTTTTTCCTTGCAACTCACTCGAAAATTAAATTGTTACCTCAAGTAATGTATGAGTCATACATTCGCGATAAAAGATAAAAAAATTAAAAAAAAAAGAAACGTAGGATGGAGCGGAATGACAAATTCTGCTCTCAAAGAATACTGAATGTGAAGTTTTACAAGGGAGCAAGGTAGGCATGTTTTCCATAATTGTGTAATATTGTTTCATGTATACAGAAAGAAAACTACACAGCATCTAAATGCACTTATATTTTATGTCGTACACTGGTAATCAATTCCGTGCTGTTGCAATTGTTTATGTGTAGCTGGTAAGTGATCTTGAGGAAATCATGTTGTCCTGAATTAATTTTAGAACGTAAGGTTGACGGTGCGAATTTAAGTTATCTTCGATAGTGGCGGGGAAAAATTGAGCAAAACTCAATTCGTATCCAGTTACATATAGGAAAGCATGGCCGGCATCCAAGGGTGATGTTATCCAGCCCAGCCTCCTTGGAGATGCTAAGCTGGATAACATGAATCGTTTTAAATAATTTCTCTCAACAACGACTTATTGTGAATAACTAAGAGATCATGAGCTGTTGTGTTCTCTTTTTTGCCAAGAGCAAATTGCTCATTGTAATTAATTGGTTTCGAGCATGGGTTAAGGAGAAAAAAAAACCGATGATTGTACCATGGGAAACAGCTAAGAATGTTGAATTCAATTCAGTGGTATTGGGGATAGCTTCAATATTCCTGTAGCAAGTTGCGTTGTGACAACTTGTAAACCTGAGCCTGGGAGCCTGGCGCTAGCAAACCCCAAGCCCTCACGGTTTTACAGAAACTTTAAAAATATGGCGCTCTTGGCGCTCAAGAAACCTAAACATTAAAAATCATGCGAATGCTTTTGAATGATGGGGACAAATTGTAAACTTCAGGAAGCGGAGATTCCAGTGGTTCACTTTTCATAAAATGATGGACTGGTGAGTACAGTTGATTGAAGGGAATGATCGAAGTGCACAATTGCAACAGAAGTGTTCTTGTGTACGAAATTTAAGAAATTAAGTTGTTCGAATTCTGCCAAAAATGCTGCAGAACATCAACGAAAACATTTTTAGGATTAAGCATCTGTATTTCCTTTCGGTCAGAAAATGTAATTTTATTGAAATATCGTAAAGCTGAGCAAGCCTTGTTCATCTCACCTTTGAATTTCCCTTCTTAGAGGGAGGCGCTCATTGTAAAAAAAAACAACAATCACTGCAGGCTTTAAACCGAGTCTCTTCAAAATTTGTTCCTAGGGTTTTCAGTTTTGATCATGAGCAAACCACTTCACCTCTTCAACTTCAATAACCCACTTTGAGTTTGTTATCTGTGAGGTGAAATGGAAATGGGGCTCTGACGACACCATATATCAAAATTCACATATAAAAGTTGATATAAAAGTTGGGAGACTTGACAGCAGCAGCTATTTTCAAATTTATTTTGATTTTATTTCGTACAAGTCTATCCTTTGTGCAGACTTAAATAACTTTCATGTTTAATTAAAGTTGATAAAGATAAAAAATCTACTACTTAAGCTGAGTAGATTTAGTGAATAAGCTTCCACTGCACATGGAGTGTGCTTTGAGCCCTTGTGAAGCCTTTAGGTGTTGTAGAACAGCTATGGTTGTAAATGATTTCTGTTTAAGGACAGACAAGTAGAATTCTCTGTCCTTAAGTTTCTTTCTCTGCCCTTTGCTATGGGTGGGGCTGATTTGCTGGCAGGTCTTGTGTCAGTGTATCTGTTTGCCCGTCTTCAAGTGGTTGGTCTGGGCACTAAGGCAAGCACTTTCTGCATGCTTATTGGTGTGCATGATGTGTGCACCTACACACAGAACAATATTGACGCAACCAATATCAATAAGATGTTACTCAATGTTCAATAAACCCACTCTTAAAAAGTCAATTACAGATTAGAAATGACACATCTTAAAATATTAAAAGTTCTGCCAAATACTTTTTGATGGGTAACACCGCAGCACTGATTTGCAAGTTGTTACCCATTAAATGGCAAGTTTAAGGTAACATGCCATTGAATGGTTACTTACTCGGGTACTAAGCTTTGCTGACATATACTTACAATTTCAGGCTATCACTTCGGGGGAGGGGAATGCTATGTACATTGTCCCTGTAATCAAGATTGCCTCAACACAGTGGTGACTGCTTCTATTAAGCTTCTGTGTTTCTGTTATCTCACACACTGATTTCTTGCATTCTTAGTTCTTTAGAAAAAGCATAGCACTTGAACTTGATGTGGCTTTAATTGGATTCTCTACTTCAAGGTAAGCAGCAGTCATTACTTATGTTGTTAGAGCCAGGGTGGAGCTTGTTGAAATGGGTGCTGCACACATTTCTTTCTCTCTCATGCTTTGCTTTTGGAGGAGTTGAGGGAGGAATTGAACAAACACTGATGTGTTTGTTATAAGTCAGTTATCGGTATATATAGTTATCATGAGACAGGCAACAATATGGCAAGATTTGCCAAGCTGTTAAACATACACATTCTATAAGTTAAGTGCCTCCTAAACTTTTTTTCACCCTTTTTTGTTACTTTTAGTGAGAAAACAAGTAACCTTTCAATGCTTCTAGAAGTGATGAAGTAAGACACATATTCTCATTAGTAAGAGCATTAGTTAACCCTTTAAATCCCAGAAGTGATTCACATGTAACTTCTCCCTACAATATCTATATCTAGCAAACTGGTAATGAGAGTATTCAAATGTATCAGGTAAGAGTTTTTATCTTGATCTAACACCAAATTCTTGCAACTTATTTACAAGGAAATTTGTAGCAGCTAGAGGGGAGAATTAAGAACCAGATCCTGGGAGTTAAAGGGTTGACTGATTTGTAAACTTATAAAGTTTGGTGTTAGTCCATGCTACATCAAATGATTTAAAAATTCATAACGGAGAGAATAGAGCAAGTCAGTACAATGTCATTTAACCATATTTTTGGTTCTTGGTCTTTCTTTAATATAAAAAAAAAAAAAAAACGAAAATGTACTGTCATCGGGACCGGCACCTCCCCCTCTCTTCTCCTTCAGGTGATGAAAATTTTCTTACATTGCACAAAAGGGAAATAGCTCGAGAAAATTTGTTTTAATCTAAATGAACGATCTTGAGATCTTGTTTTCCGATGTGAAATTAATAAAGTAAAGCTGTCAAGGTCTCGCACGCAAATTCAGTCACACCATTTGTGGCGTTATGCCATTTCCTTCGTGCTCAACAGATCGCACCCTTTGTAACCAGGCATCGTAATACTCCTCGTATTCACGGATGAGGTCTTTGATCTTTGCGGATTTGTACTTGATAGTTTGTACTGTTTGATGACTGAGGAACATTTCATGACAGTCACAGCTGTTTGGTGCAGGAGTTAACGAGATAATTGCACTTTCGTCCTCCGTAGCCTTACTCTTCTGACCTGCGACACGAAAAATCAGTATCGAACAAGTATCTAATTAAATTGTGTTTTTTTTTGTCTGATCGGCATATCAATTCCCCATATATACAAAGTACACTAGCAAAAAGGCAGGCAAGAAGAATTAAGGAAACGATCCAAGAAAATCACTGTGAGAACCAGGGAGTAACATAGCTAAAAAAAGAGGCAATAATATGATTTCGAATGCAATTTAGTGTTAATAAGCACGAGTAAATTTTTAAAAGAAAACAAAACGGATTCTGTAACAGGATAGGTTTGCAGCGCGGAAAAATTCGGAAGGTTTTTAGGTTTCTCAGAAAATCGCTCTCAAAATGACTGTCATACAGAAATCTCACTGAATTTTCCTCATTTTTGTATTAAAGAAAACATAAATTTCAGTAAAGGAAATTAAAAATAGAAAAGCTCTTACGTCGCTTGGGTCGATGATAAAGTAGTTCCCAGGCTATTCCAACGAGTAGAAGAAATCCCAGCACCCCTATCAGGATGAAAAGCACGTTTTGAAAGGCTTCTTCTTTAAAAAAGAAAAGTCCTTCGGATGCTTTTACCTCTTGGCTTACTTCATCAGTGGGATTCTGTTAAAAAAAAAAAAATGAAAAAGCAAAACAGAACAATTTGATAAGATAGAATGTCGTGTTCGAACAGTGATTTCAAAGCTTATTTCCGAGATGCTGAAAGCCTCTCTTTTGACCATGTACCTCCCATGAGTGAGCAAGAGAAAATTTCTCCTTACAATTTCAATACAATATCAAGCATAGAAGTGATGAGAATAAAGAAAATATCAATTAGGGGATTATTAATTGATCCAATACCAAATTCTCCAAATTGACATCATAAGAGTTTTATGGAAGACAGTAAGGAGAATTAATAATGAAATCTTGGGAGTTAAAGGGTTAAGATGCGAATTGAAGCGACACTATAGCTA